TAAAGACCTGGACTTCTCATCACTTTTTAATCTCACATCAATTAAATAAGCAGCGCTACTAAACTGGAATAGAAAAGAAATTTAAAGCCATTGTGTTGCTGTTCACCACTAAGATATTCCACTGGTTTATTTGCATCCAGTAATCCATGAAGAATTGAGGAAATGGGAAACCCAACTTTCCTAGTGCAATTCTCAATACAAGAAAGCAGAGGCTACAGCCTAATACGTCAAAGCACAAACACACGTAATCGCTTTCGATCACAGCTTTCCAAAATACCTGAGTCTATCCAGCTTTGAAAACAACACATGTAGGAATAAACTCGTTCCATGTTTCCGTCTATCCATATAAAACATATTAAGTGCTTCTGCCTCCACCTAAACCCCAGCACGTCTAAAGCGCTTTCATTGAAACAAGTTTTTCTGCATCCTAATTGCATCCCGATTCCCAGGAAATTCCGTGCGACACATTAGATTTAAAAAATAAATAAAAGTAATTGAACGTTTAATAAGAAAGCACTGTTTTGTTTCTGTACTTTACCATGGAAAATGGTAGGCCCAATTACAAGGATATTAAGCTTTGTAGCTGCTTAAATATATATATTCTCCTGGTCATCACACGCATGGGTTCCAAATTTTTGCTTGTAGTCAACATGTCTTAAGGGGTCTCATCCAGTAAGAGTCAAGCATTCAAGGGGGAAAAACCATAAATGCAAAAATGGATTAAAACTAATTATTTAAATCAAGGTTTCCTGCTTTCCCGTGCTGGTCCTGGGCATGAGATTTCTCTGTAGATGGGTGAATGGTTCTGTAGCTTGTTTGAATGCAAAGCCATGCTGCTCCTCATGGCGAGGGCAAGCTTGTATGGGGCGGGGGAAGGCAAGCAGAATTGTGATTGCTATCACGGTGGCACGTCGGGATTATTCAGTCCCATGAGCTGTAGCAAGCACCACCCTAGAGAAAAGTTTTTAAAATTTTAAAATCTTTTTCTAATTAAGAGAATTCAGAGGGTCACTTGATAGAACTGTGCATGGGAGAGACACCTTTCTCAGCTCAGAGACTTGCGTCAAAGTCCTTGATATCCGTTATCTCTTTATCCATCATTCCCTTACACAGTTATTCACCAGCTTCGCTCAGTATTAACTCCCTATAAGCGAAGATCCAGCATGAATGACATGAAACACTCACACTCGTTTTCTGTTCCTCCTCGTGGGGACTATGAAAGGGAACATGTGCTCTCACAGATGGAAGTTGCTGCCTCCTGAAATAACACACAGCTAAACACTGAACTAAATACCCAGGGGTAAGAGGGCTTTGAGCATTGATTTAAACAGATAAATTATTTCCATCGGTGCCTCTTCAAAAGAGGAGTTAAGGAGAACAAAAAAATGTATTATTTAACCAATAAAAGAGCAAAGTGACAGGAACAAAGAGCATTTTAAAAAGCAACCTCGTTTTGCCTCCACTTTTTAGATAGATGCACGCGTGGGTCCCCAACTCCCCTGGGACCGTGCACGCCGCTGGCTTTCTTCTTCCAAGCGGCACAGTAGGGCAGTTCACCAGTTCTGTTCCTGCCAAGCAACTGAGCTTTCTCCTTGGCAGATGGCATCTCGCCCGTCCTCAAAACCCTGCTGCCACGCACAAGGGCAATAGGGTTCAGTTTGATTTCTGACCATCGAGGCCAAATTTAACAGACATTTCCTCCCGCCTCTGCCCAAGACATTTACCACATCATATCAGATTATGGCAAACATTAAGTGCCATATTTGTGTCCAGACCAGCCCGAGGAGGTAATTTTGCTCACCAAATACGTACTCATCAACTGCTTCTCCCGTTCCTTATGGCTCCCGCTATGTCCAGAGGGGAGAGAGCAATGGGTGTGAAAGCACGAACCGAGAACAGATTAAATAAAGGCTGTGGGAAGAACACGATTCCTTTCTCGTGTATCAGGTAATTAAATTTGTGTTACCTCAGTTTTGTTTCCTTGTTTTCAGAAGCTGAAATATCAGAGAAGCTGACATTTGGAAGAGCGCAAGTTAGCACTGGAAAGCTGCAAGTTAGCTATATTTTGGAGGAGTATTATATTAAACCATCTGGCAGGACTGTCAGAAACACTTACTGGTATCTAGCACTGTTGCCAACTGTATGCTGATGAAAGATACAGGGAGCGCTGGCCAAAGAGAGAAATAAGTAAAGATACAGCAGAAGATACTCATCTTTTGAGGCAACTCCTGGAGACAAACATTTTGTCCCCAAAACACTCTGGAAACACCAAAAACTCATTCAACAGAAAAGACAGGAACTCGCTGAACACCCAGGGCACCAGGGCATTAGGATTTTCCAGCTCGCAAGGCAGCAGGAACTTTTTGAGGAAGAAAGGTGGAAGAGTACAGCGAGTGACCACAATCCATGGCTAGAATGCCTTGTGAGAAGAAAAAAACCCCATAACGTTAGAATAGGGGATTAAAATAATGAGTACGTTTGTGAGAATCTGCCTGAGGGAAAATAGTTTAGAAAATTAAAAACTCCATAGTAACAGACTGAAAGCTGTTAACCAACATCTAATTAATTGCAAACTGCAACCCCCACAACAAAATGTTAAAAGGAATTACAGGCAGGAGGAAGGAAAAAAAAAATAAAAAATTCATGCAGCAACTAAGCTGACCCAGACCAAAACAAGTACTAAGAAAACAACATAAAGAATAATAAAATCACCACCGTGATGATAACTGAACAGAAAACAACTTTTGATGAAACTATCAGGACTTTACTGTGAACAGCCAAAGCCAAGGCTATGTTGTATACCATAGGTTTTGGTTTTTAATATCCAGCAGATCTCTAAGATCCCAGCCTCAATCCAAGCACAAAAAGCATCCTGTCGGCAACAAGCAGCCACGGGGCTGGGGTGAGCGCAGTCGTACTGCACGCTGGCACAAGCGATGCTCGGCCATTTTAGAAGCACAGGTTAGTCTCTGGCTGCAGTTTGCCACTGCAGCAAACTGCAGAGGGCACAGTGGCTGCAAGCGTGCCTGGTTTCTGTTGCTCTACTCCAGCCTTTAAATCTGCTAAGCGCAGATTCTGGGCCCGGCCAGAAGGTCCCGCAGAGCTTTCCTGTCCTTAGTGCTACACAGGGCTTCCTTGATCCAAAGTCCCGCTCTCTGAACAGTGAGGAATCACACATTTTGAGAACAGCAACTTTTAAACAATCCTTATTAAAGGGTCTCTCATCTTTCCC